AAATTGTGGAATGCTGGAAACGCCAAGACAAAGATAAACACCGGAAAACGAAACTGCTTAAAAAAGCGTACAAAAGATGACTAAAAATAGAAAAAAAAAAAAAGACGAGCGTGGCCCTTTTTTATGAAGAAGGAACAAGAAAAATATATGAAAATATAGGATTATTTTCCATAAATAATTTTCCATAATCACAAAAAGAATTATATTTTGAAAAAAATATGTAAGGATGTATATATATATATATATATATATATATATATATATATATATATATATATATATATATATATTGAATTTATTTACGAGTATGTGGCTCGCTAATCTCAAACATCAAATCTAATTTTTTGTCTAGAAATTAGAAAGGGTTCCACCGACTCGATCCATTCTTTACCAAATTTTCTTCACGACATCCTTCAACCCTTGTGATGATATCTACAGTTTATGTGTGACTCTATATTCTCTTGAATCCTTTCCAAAATTGGATTACGGGCTGTCCGGTATCAGAACTTTTCATGTTTTCTTTCGAATAATTTCCCTTTTTAAAACTATTTAATCCCACCACACCCTTTCCTTTTTTTTCTTCCTAATATATATTTTTTTCCTGTTTGTTTATTGTCCAGAGGACAGTTAAAAAACATTTACCGGACCAAACACAAAACATGGAAAAGATTTTGAAAAAAAAGATGTTACATATATATATATATATATATATATATATATATATATATTATATTGAAAAATACAAAATATACTATCACATTCTTGCGTTTTGTTGTTGCCTAAACAGAAGAACACGAGTTACACAGTAAGAGTTTTTTTTTCATTCCTTTTCTTTCATGTTTTCTTTTTTATAAAGTTATAGTCTTGTTTAAAAATTCATCCTTGCAATCTTCGCTGAGTTTCCTTTCATATTATGCCATGATTATGTGAGTTTTATTTATTTATTTTTCTTTACCTATTCCCCGTCATTTAATACGCACAGGTATATAACACGCACCAGAAAAGAAGAATATTTAAGAAAAAAAATAATCAATGATTATGTATCTATACTTTTCAGCCATTTTTTTTTTTTAATATTTTTGTACATTGTTAATTATAACTATTTGATTTATATGTATATTTATTTATATTTATATCTGTTTTAAGATATTTTTATGTTTATACATTCTTTTTATAGATACAAATATTTAAGTAAATGCTCTGTTTATAATAAACAGTATTAAACAACATTTACCGGCCTGAATGTCCGAGAAATTTTCACAGAAAATATTCGTCCTCCGACGAAAATTTCTCAGACATTCAGGCCGGTAAATGTTGTTTAATACTGTTTATTATAAACAGAGCATTTACTTAAATATTTTTATCTATAAAAAGAATGTATAAACATAAAAATGTCTTAAAATAACTGTCAGACTTGTCCATTTCATAATGTATATATATATATATATATATATATATATATATATATATATATATATATATATATATATATATTTATCTATATTTATATTTATTCATATTTATTTATATTTATATTTATATTCATTCATATTTATTTATACTCCATTCTGGAATCAAACAGCATTAGTCTAGTCACGTTATATAAGCCGCTCTTTGATTCTCGGAAGTTTCTGATAAGTGCGGATTATATGACGGGGAATACGGTATTTATTTTATTCATGTATATCTCTTTTGAAAATTTAGTAGTTAGCATTTTGTCTTTTGTATTGCCTTTGAAAACTACAGTTTCTGCTAGATGTTTTAGCTTGCTTTCAGAAATTTTCTCGTTACAACCCCCCCACACACACAAAGAAACAAAACAAAGACAAAACAAAAAATGGTTGCTTGTTTTACAAGTTAAATATTCGCAAAGATCAAATCATTACAGTATTTCTGTTTACAAAATGGTTATGGCATTTTTAGAGTCTTTTCCAATTGTCCTCTGCAAACATAAAGTCCACGATTTAAATCATAAAAAGATGAAAAACAACAAATAATTAAATGCCTTTTTCTTTCTCGCCCAAAACAACAACACGAAAACCCTAATCATGACCCGAGAACTAACGAAATAAACTTAATCTATCAAATCCTATTGTTTACAAACATTTTCCTTTAGTATGGATGAAAGTGAAAGCCACGAAAATTTTTTATACCCTATTCTCCTTTTATGAAACCTATAGTTTCAGTTTGTTCCGGCAAAGTTATATAAATCTGACAATTTGACGGGACTTGGGCCCAACTAAGAAGATATGCAAGACTGACTGTTTTTGAAAAAGGTTGAAATGTTTTTCTTACCCAAGATGAAATTGGTTATAAAATTTGACTTCAAACTAATTTAACTTGCACGTAAAACAAAACGAAATTTATTTATTTCTTTTGTTTTAGGTTTCCGTAGTTTAAAATTATAGACGTTTTAGTAGAAGAAAAAGCTATATATATATATATATATATATATATATATAACTGAATCAACTAAGCTGTTAGATCCTCATACGTCGAAACCGACGGAAGAGTCCATTATATATATATATATCCATTATATATATATATATATTAAGAATATGATTCTTTCACTACATAAGAATTCTCATGTTTCAAAAACAGGAGCCAAAAACTTCAATATAATTATTAAAATTAATGAATCAAGCTCTGTTTCATCATCAAGCGATATTTATCTAACGTGTTCTTTCCTATTTTTCTATATATTTGCACACACACACACACACACACACACACACACACACACACACACATATATATATAAGCAAAATGAGATATTCTTTCTAATAAGTTAAGGCATAAATGTGGGGTACAAACAGTATCTGTTTTCTAAAACTTCTCTTACTGTGGCATTTAATTAGCTCGATTTAGTCTGGTACAAGGCCGCAATTATGGGTCATTATGTGAATATCGAACTCACTACACAGTAGTAATGATGTGAAGGGATGGCTCATTAACCATTACTAAGCATTGAGACACTCTCTATGTATCCACAAGCTATATATTAATATCTACTAACGTCTTTATAGCTGAGTATACCACGAGGCTACAGGTGTGAAGACGCCATTGCGAGTCGAACATTTTACAGACATACATTGGTTTGTAAGTTTTTTGCTAAAACTCAATGATATTTGTCTTATATAACAAAGATATATTCCACGCACCTTGCGCCTTATACACAGTGTCGGATCTACTATGAAAGTAATGAAGCTTAATCTTCAGTGTCCCTAATGTCAGGGAGGGCCCCTGAAGTAACGTTTTTTAAAGAGTGCATTTTTCAACAAAACCGATTATTTTTTAAAGTGTTTATTATAAAAACAAGGCCAATTTAATGATAGAGTCATAAGCCGATGAGTCGAAGTAGCTAAAGTTGGCCTCAGAAAATGTTACCCATTTCATATGGCCTCAAAATTCTCCTGTAATTGGCCAAATTTCAAAATTATCTTGAGAGTTTGCAGCGCTCGAAGCCCCAGTTCGTTGACGTTGCCAGAATCTATTCATAGCCTACATTTTGGTCGTTGGCTCCTCGCATCTACTGTTGGTGGTTGCGAAGGGGCTCTCATATCTGACCAAACTTCCGGGCCCCGAAAATGCAGGTCCACCACTGCTTACACACCAAGATTACCAAAAGTTTGCTGTCAGACTTTATATCTACCGGTGCTTGCTGGAAAAGAAGTTATAAAAAAAGCGTTTCATACAAAAGTGCGTCTTAAATGCTGAAAAATACTGCATTTTTCTTAAGCCTTAGTCGTTGTTCTCTTTAGTTAATGTGACTTTGAATCTCAATATGCTTGACCAACAGGTAACAAATATGAGTTGCCTACAGATAAGAAAGTGCTAAAGTCTGTAACTAGTTGTAGAATTCAAATATTTTAGGAACAGAATAGTTCTTCTTTTGCACCATAATTTATTCATTTATTTATTTTTTTATGAATCCGATTATCTCTTCATTTTTTCTTTTTACAATTCATAATTTTTTGTCGATGTCTGTAAAAACCAAAAGAATTTTTAAAAAACGGTTCTGCAAACATGTGTAAATTTAGGAAACGGTTCAAGCGAACAATTGCGGACCCAATAAATACCAACACCATCTGCGATCATTTAAAGTAACTTTCCTAAAAAAAAGAAAAATTATTTCTAACGAATTTGTAATTATCTTTTTATTTAATCTTAGTGAAAAATCTTAATAGCCACAGAACTTGCTCAGTCATACTTTATTCCTAACAGGGCTTTCTTGAAGAAGATGGAGTAAAAGCGTTTTATACAAAGGTGCGTCTTATATGCTTAAAAATATAATATTTTTCTTTATAACTGTTAAGCGTTATGAGAGTTGGTTTCTGTTCTTAATGAGAAAAATGATTATTATATCTTTAATTTTGTATATACTTAAGATTTTCTAAACGTAGCTTAGACTATGCACAAGGACGAAAGAATGGGGGCATCCAGTAAGGATCAAACTCACTTTTCTGTAGTAACTAACGTGGCAAGACAAGCTTACTAACCATTACACCACGCCGATGTGCCATAATTTTGTATATACTTAGATGGTAAATAAAAACATTTTGGGACACTGAAAGCAGGAACTGATTAACAATTGATCAGCCAAGATGCTGTTCAGCTTCATTAACTATAAAAAAAAGCCGAGGTGAGTCTTTTTTACAAGACCTTAATCCTCTATGGGGATTGTACTGTCTTGTGTAATACTGCGCTTCATTTCGGGCTGTTTCATTTTGGATTACTCTCTCTTTCTCTCTCTCTCTCTCTCTCTCTCTCTCAATATCTCCGTGTTGTCTCCTACCAAGATGACTAGCGACGGAATTATATATAGGGAGATTTAAGATTCATGCTTTTATTCGGTGGCCATCAGCACAAAGGAAAACATTACCGGTGCAAAATGGGGTTTAAACCATTATCTTTGCTTCCAGTGTCGAACTCTGAGGGACAAATTCCGGTTCCAGGTTTTCTAATTGTTTTTTTCTTTAGAATCGAAGCAAATGCAT